ATATTGTTGCTTTGAAAGGGAAAAATCTACAAGAGAAATGTTTTTTTTTTTTTAAAAAAAACCTTTGTTCTTTTGAACTGTCTAGCTCCTTAACTGCTTGATGGCTTTGTAATTACATTTTTTAACCCCTGTAACCATGAGAATATAACCAAACATATAGGTTGTGTGATTTTATCATTGTACTAATTTTCATAAACTGATGATTATTAATCTACCCTTGTAACCAATGATCTTACCCTGCTAACCAATCAGAACTTCCAGGTTGTTCTGTCTCACTTTTGTACCTCTTTAATAATACCTTCTATTTGTGCATCATATAAAAACTCGAGACCACTGAGATTGGTCCTGATATTCTGGGAATGATCCCGATGAGTGCCTGGCTAGGTAAATAAATCTGTCTCCAAATCCTGGGTGTCATTTTGGTGTTTTCTGCTTGCCATTGCAGTTTTATCCTGTTGTTACAGGCCAGAGAGTAAAATGTAATAGTCCGCAATTACCCTGGTGTTCAGACCCTCATATAGTTTCTACACCTTGAGTAAGGTTTATGTCATTGAGTTCCTTCTGATGATTCAAATACAGCAAAATGGTTGGAAAATTAACCTCTGACCAAGTGTTTAGGAAGAGTATGTGGCTTCCATCTTTAATGTTCTGTGTCATTTTCCCTTGGATGTCTTGCAATAGGAAATGCTTCTGTATCACGAACTTCCTCTATAGAAATTTATAACATCAAATCTACTTAATCTGTAGCTGAAGAAACTACTGTTTGGCTCGAAATTTCATTTCAACCCTTGGAACTTTAAATTGCAACACTTCTGGAAACCCAGATCCAGATTCCTGACTCAGAGAAACTGAACAAGATGCAAATATTTGTTCCATTTAATTTACTATGTAGTCAGAGGTAATTTAGCACTCAGTAAAGATGTACTACCAAATATATGAGTAGAATGAGTTAAAAAAAACTGTGATGAGAATGTAACATCAAAGGACATAATAGGATTATGGAATCATGGATCACTTAGATTGCTATTTCACCAGTGTTGTATACGTGAAAAAACTAGCCTCCAACAAGATTTTCAGTATTTTAACAATATTCTCAATTATTAGAGCAAAAGCTCAATGCAATCAATATTCTTCACATTACCTATTTTTTTTTCTTTTAATATATTCACAGGATACCATCTAGTATATTGAACATTGTCTTTTTTGCCTCATACTTCCTGTTTTTGCCTTTCTGACCTAATTTTCTTTTGCTAGCTCGTGCTCTCTCTCTCTTTCACTGTTTCTTTACTTTTTCTTTGTGTCACACATATGTAAACCTAACCAAAAGATAGCCTGTAAACAACAAAAAAGCTGAATTAATGATGGAATCAAAACCTGTATGAGTACACCAAAATCTCTTTCTTAGTAGTTTAGTAAAATTCTGAATTGAACAACGCATTTGAAAAGAATATAAATGAAATCCATCATATTAGGGAAAAAGCAGTTTGGTGCTTTTTATTTAAAAAATAAATATGAACGAGTTGATTTTTAATTCATCCAAAACAATTATCCTGAAAGTACAGAATATGTTTTTGTTGGAAAGTTTTTGTTACCATAAATATAAATAGGGAGATTTAATGCAGTTTTGGTTATTTATTTATAACTCAGTTTTAAAATGTAATTTTATATATTTATACTTTCTATGACTCGTTTTATGTAAATTATACAAATTTCCAGGTTGGTTTTATCTTTGTGATAAGATTTCCTCACATTGAAAATAAAATGAAATATTTTTTTAGTCTACCCCCACAAAATGGGCCCTGAATCATTATGGGTTTTCCATAGAGCATAACTAATTGTTCTTAATAATCCCCATAATTTGGTGGGACGCACACATATCCTACACAGTTGGGGGGTGGGTTGCAGGTAGCCAATCTGAGAGCATTATTCAGTTCTCCTTGCTGACTGGCTGCTATCCTGTACCTCATTAGGCAGTTGCACCAGTGTTCCTACATTATAACAGATTGCTGTTCTGCCTGGAGCTATTTTGAGTATTCCTGGTTTTATTCTTTTTAAGGCTTTAAAATCCATAAGGTGCTGCCAACTATCCTGTACTTTCCAAGACTTTATTAATACAATATTTTATTAAGTTAACGTAACTGCTAGAAATGTACCTTATTGATAGTTTACACTATAAAAATAGGAATTGACAGGCATTTTTCTGACCATATCTGAAGTTTAAGGTTTTTCACAATTCACAGGTGCTCTAGAAATGAAACCTCTAGGAATTTGGGGGGTCTATTCTGTTTCTGTAGATATTTTGTCTACAAAATATTACTTAAGACTATTATATAATTTGTGAAGTTTGTCTGCTAAAATTTTGAAGAAATGGTTTATAGGTGCTGAGGATTTAGCTCAGAAGCGTAAGCACCTGCCTTGCAAGCAGGCAGTTGTGAGTTCGATCCCTGATACCTATAAAAAAAAAAAAGTGCAAAAAAGAAATGGTTAATTATTGTATATGTGCTATTTTTCTTGTTACTAGTTTAATCTCCTTTCTTTGGCTAATATTAAGTGAACATATTTTATTATTTGGAGATAAGATTTTTCAAATGTTTTCTTTCCTCCCAACTAAAGAATCATCAAAGAAGATGATTTAGGAAATAACAGACAGTAAAAATGAAAGCAGAACAAAATGGATATTTTTGTTAAAAATGAAATACTATTTTGATGGGAAATGGCTTCAAAATACATGTTGTGCTGTACCAAACCACATAAGCTGGTTTAATCTGACAAATTTCAGTTTTATGGCAATTTTATAGTTCTTGATATTGGAGTGAGAGTATGGCTCCAGCAGATAGAGATCTTTCTCTTCATACACACAGCTTTGTGTGGTGTATCCTCTTTTTTTCTTGTTACTTTTCTACATCATCATAATTTAAATTTGTGTTAAAGAGTGACCTTTATGTCATTTCTATTGATAGGTGACAAGAGCTAAAATATAATCAGTATAACTTTTGCCTATATGGAATCTCAAGTGTGGTCTTTATCTAAATTCTAAGTGACCATAGTCTGAGATAAGAAATGATGCAACTTTATTTATAAAACCAGTTTTAGTTCTATAATAACATTTTTTTTCACTCTGAGGAAAACTGGTGTGAAGCAAAATAGCTACCACAATTTTATCATACCAAAATACGTCAATTCTTCATAAAAATGTATAATGTACAAATAAAAAAGTAATCCATATATTCCCTATTTCTTAGCATATACTAAAATTCATGTAAAAATGAGCTTTGTTTTTAAATAAGTATATTATTTAGTAAAATTTCCAGTTGGATCTTTAAAATGTGAGAGAAAATATGACTAACTTCCAGCAATTATTATTAATTATAAAAACTAAGACTAGTTTTGGATAGGATATGGATGAAAAATTTATTATTTATTGTTAACTATTCTGTGTATAGAATACTAACAGGTAAAATTCGTCACAGAAAATGACAGATACAACTTATACTCATTACTGAAACAAAATGCAAATATTTCAGCATCAATGGAAAAACTAACAGGGAATTATAGTTACCAGATTGCTGTCATACTAGAAAAGTTTCCATGCCTCGTCTTATGTTACTACAGTATTTAAACATTTGAGCCATGGTGTGGCACACTATTTTCTAATCTCTGTAATATTTTGGCATAATTATTGTGATTTGTCTTTTAAAAGTGATGTCCTCCTAAAGAAAAATGAGCTATTCTTATACTGCTTAAATAATTTTATCACTTAAGAATCTTTTCTTGTGAAGATCTTTATGTTATGTTATGACTCCTCCAAAATGTTATTTTTCTCCTAAACTTTATATCCTGTTTTACTCAGCAATTGATAATTTGTATGGCTAAAAAGTAAAAGCATTGTTTAAAACTGATACAAAATGGAAAAATGTTTCTAATATTGATTGCTATTCTCTTAATTTGTATCATATGTATGCTTTTTATTTTATTTCATGATTTTATTTTATTTTGTTGGCCTTCAGTCAAAGCTATAGATGGCAGCCCTGCATACTTAATCAATATCTCATAGGATGGTAAATCAAATACTTGCTTTGTAATTTTGAAGGGCACTGGGAAACCCTTTGCAAACAGCTTTGTTTAATATATTGAAAATACTTAAGTTTTGCACTGAGGTTCTTGGTTGTGGCACATACTAGTGATGATCGTTGGGTTTGCTTATCGTTATCTAATAAGACTACTCCAGCATAGATGATATATTTGAATGTCTTTGTATCTCATTCCCAGTATTAGACTTTATCCAACCTAGTTGACAGCTGTATTCATGGGAAAATTGTGTTTGTTATTTTCTGTATGTGACCTAATGATAATTTATTAGATTTGAATTTCTTTTTACTAGAGTATTTCCAATAGAAATATTAATTTGATACCAGAAATTGAAGTTTACACTCCAAAATCCAACAACATTCTTTCTACAATAGTAGAAAGCATAGAGAAAAATTAATACCCGTATTTAGAATAATAATGTTAAATGTTGAATTTACTTATAGAAATAAAGTTTTGGATAACCTTAAATTTCAACACAGTGGTATGTTGGTATGTTAAAAAGTAACAACATTGATTTCTTCATCAGTGAAATGGTAATGATACTTCCTAACGACTACTTGAGTATGGTAAAATAATACATACGTAAATCCAAATTTTTAGTTATATATGGTTAATTATTGACCTTGAGTAAAAATGTGTAGTAGAAGTATCAAAAAAGGAATGTCCTTTATTAATCAGAATTTACCAAAACACCTAATCAGTTCCTGAAAGTAGATTTATAATTTCTTTATATATCAAATCATACATGTTTACCTTCACTTTCTTAAGATTGTGATGTTTATCTTTGCTTAGTTGTATGTAGGTATATTCTTTGGAGATAGTGATTAGAGAAGAAATTCGCTTTGAAAGGTTAATTATGAAAAGACTTAGATACTAATATTTTTATGGAAACCTACAAGTTGCAAAAAATACTGGCCCTGAATCAAGGCCAGCAGCTGATGCTGTAGATTTCAAGCAGGAGCCTAAAGAGATGTCTTTCTGTGGTCTGTTGACATTTCATAACTTGGACAGTTAAATGGTCAATTCATTAGAAAGAAACAGCTTGAAGCAACCCTACCCCCCACCCCTGTGAGCAGCTGCGAGTGTGGCAGGCTGCAGTGGCCCAGGATGGGAGACACAGGCATTTACTGGGACCCAGGCCATGCTGGGACCTGGAATGCCAGGAAACCAAACAACCCCTCCCTCCGCCTGCTTTGTTTTGTTGAAATTCAATATACATGAAAGTATGGTCAGCTATTTTGAAGAGATTGAGAGACTCTATGACAGCCATTAGTGACTTCGCTGTTGTCTGGTTCTGAAGACCTGAAATGCCTTCCTTATTCTGTTTGGATCAGTTTTATACTATGTTGTTTTGTATGAATTCTCTGAATGTGAAGACATGGACAACTATTTGGAAGAAAAGAAGAGACAATGTGATAGACAATGAAGATCTCTGGTCATGTAGCTTTGAAATTTATATCTCAAAAAAATTTATATCTCTTACATTGCTTTCTTATGTCCTATTTTGTCCTATTTTGTGGTGTTTAATTTTACCCCCTTTAAAATAAAAACTAAAAAAAACAAGTTGTAGAAAATTTAAATTAAGGTTAATTGGATAAGCCCAATATATTTAAACCTTTTGCCATTTTGTGCATATCAAATTTGGTATGCTACCACTATTTTTTAGTATGATGCTTCGTACTATCTTTCACAAAAGGTGTTAAGTCCTTTATACCAGACGATGTCACATCCATCTTTTTACTGTCCTCTTTCTTCACAAGTATCCTGAGCTGTGCTTCCTAATGAAAGGCACCTCCTATCAAGTCCATTTAATGCTTTAATGTTTTCCAGGCATGCTTGGTGATGTGCCTGGCTTATGAAACAATATCCTTCAGTTGTAAAATTAATTAAGGCAAACAGTCAACCATGTATTACTTTCTAATGAATTATCAATTCATAATCTCACCCACACGTGTACCAAAAGGTTCATTGATAAGATCTGTAAGAATACAATTCTTAGCCTTAAAACTGTACAACTACTACAAAATCAAAAAAAGACTAAATTTCAGTTAAGACATTATAAATACCTGCTGGTCAATGCTTTAAATGAAATGTGTCATGCTCCACTCTGCCTAGATTATGTATTGACAAGATCCTTTTCCATTTTCGTTATCTTCTAATTGATTTAACAAAGGAAAAATGATTCATTGTGAAATATCTCTTCAGCACCTTCAAGACTAAAGTTTAATGATCCTACCTCACATTCTTCCCAAAGATCATGAGAAAATGATGAACAGAGGACTTGAGATTAAGTGATACAGCACAGCCTGTTTCCTCTGCATAGAGAACTAGTGTTCTTAATATATCACACCATAGAAATAAGGTTTTTCTTAATTCTTCCCTAGCCCTGTGCAATCCCTGATCAATAACGTAAGAATTATTATTCTTTGGGCTAGAAATAGTTCTGCAATGTAGGCTTATGTTCTGGAGATCATTCTTCTGTCAGTGAGATAAGATTCTCAAATGTGGTTGTTGAGTGTAGAACGTGGGGAGAAATTAATAAAAAATCATTTGAGGACATTGCTTTGTGTTTTTTATAATTTGATGTTTTTAGAACATAGTAGTATTTATTCTAAAGCTCATTACTGTGACACACATATTGATTTCTCACTTTAGAATTGAGTTTTAAATACATAGATTTAAAAATTCACACCCAATGCTGGTAATGAGATAATACAAGTAGTTATATAGAAATTTAGTTTGGTCTGACCATGGCCATGTGGAATTATAACCTCAGTAATTGCCCCGGCATAACACTGGTCGGTATTCTTCATAATCATGAACAAAACCATTGGGTCCCATGTGGAGGTTTAGGACTGGATTCTGGTGCCATCACTATGGGAATGTGCCTGACATCCTTGATATTAACCTGAGATAAAGCTGATATATTCCTACCTGGACACATTTACTTCACCCTCACCATTGTTGAGCCCCTTTCTGACTCAACTTGCATGTATCCATTGGTCCTGCTGCTGCCCGTGAGCGCTCCTGTTCAATATTCCCTACTGCTTTGCTTTCTGTGTAGTTCGGGAACTGTTTGCCTCTATCATCTTTCTTGCGGCCAGCTCAGATATACTGAGACACAGATTTTCTGAAACAAGGCAGGCACATTTTATTTATGAACTTTTAACTTATGAATACTTATGTTAGCTTATACACACTTTAACTTACAGACATGTAGGTTAAAATAATGTACATGTAGTATAACTTGTTAGCTAACAGTTCATCTTCTATGATATGTAGAAGTTTAATAAAGTGGTTGCAGAGCAAAATCTCTCCCAATCTGGGGTCAGATATGACTGACACATAGCTGGCATTCTGTGTAGAATTGACTCATTACTGTGATGTACAATTAGAAGACTTGCTTTAATATAATATTCTCCATTGTCTAATTGTATGACCTTGGGGAGGTAATTTATACAGTTTCTTCTTCATATCTTTGATTGTAAAATAAGGATGTTAGGCCAAAATAGTGAAGCCTGTGATATGGAAAGTACCAGTGATACTATATTTGATATTTTAAATAATTTCAGCAAAATAATGAAACACTTTGTATTGCATGAATTCAAAGAATTTCTCATTTTCATGCCAGTTCAATTTTCCTAAAATCAAAAAATAAATTTTCTAAGTCTTCAATAGGTCTCCAATACTAGTACACCTCAGGTTTTTTTTTTTTGTTTGTTTGTTTGTTTGTTTTTTGACAATGCTGCAAGATCAACTTCTAGTTGCCACGAGACAATAGTAACATATTACTGAACAGAGAAATGGTGAATGTAAATCTTATAAAAAGAAGCAAATTTATCAAAATATACTGTGAAATAATAGAAAATTATGGAATAGCCTTGGAATTTTCAGAGCTCCAATTGACCTGGTTTAGTTCAGTGATCATTTAAATCACATTCGCTGTGTTTAATAGACCTAATTAATAGTATATTCTGAATAAAACTACTATATTCTGAATAAACCTTGGCATTAGACTTTCATGTTAAGAAGAAACTCAGTTCATCTTCATATCATCAAGTATCCACTTAAGATTTAATAGCTGGTATTTATTGAGTACTTGGAATTCAGACATCCCTTCTAAGTTGTTTACATGTGTTAATATGTTAGTGTTCCCTACACTACTTAATGTTTATGATAGTCATATAAAATAAGCACTACTGTTTCATCCATTTTACATAGAGAATCCTGAAATACCAAAAGAGTGAGGAATTTGAAAAAGGTCAGCAGGATAGTAAATGATAAGTTTTATTCTACAAGTATCCATTCTCCTAGTCACTATAGTTCACTTACTATTTTCAGTTCTGAATTGTAGGATTGTTTCTTTCGACATTACAGTGTCAGTATGTGATAAAAGATGGGCACTTAAAATGTTTTCTTTTTAAATAAATGAATAGTATAATCAATAAGTATGTGTTGTAATATAGCATTAAAACATAAACTTCTTGTACAAGCATCACTTCCTAATCTCTTTTCCCACCCAATTTTCTTCTAATCATCTGACACCATTTTGGTTATTGATCTTTTGGAATGAGAAATGTGTGTTTTGATATTAGAATGTTCAGTGAAAATGCCATTCATATTTACCTCCTTCCACAAAATTTAACTGTACAACCTTGGAAGCTATTCCTAAATTTCTAAAGGTCAATATGGATGTAAGTATCTCTTGTATCTACCCAAAAGGTTTGTTGTATTAACTAAACTTAAATGTTTCTTAAAACCTTGAGTGTATTTGGCGTCTTGTAAAAATATTTTGATAGAATAATATCTATTAAAATTGCTGGAAATTGGAATCAAACAGACCTAATACTATCACCAAGTGGTTCTAAAAGGTTTGCTATAGTATTTACTGAATTCCAGCATGTTTCTTAATGCTTTACCACAAAACAGAAGTTCTTAACTCAGGACAATTAAAATCAAATAAATATTTAGCTGATTTTGTTTGTAGTATTTCTCCTTTCCTTTAAGTATTCACTTATTTAATATCTGCAATGTTCTGTTAAAGAATACAATTCACTACCTCAAGACTGAATACATTTATTAAACACTTTTCACATAGTTTTCTCAAAAATATAACCACTACTTTTCCCTAGCAACCATAAAACTCAAATTATATTATTTTAAATGCTATTCTACTTAAAGTTAGTATTGCAAGAAGTATAATATTCTAATATAGCTAATTGATTAGATGAGAATTTTAAAGACCAGGGAATTTGAAAATTATGGTAGAGAGATTTAAGAGATTTATATTTTATATTCAGTACCTTCTGAATAGAAACAGTTCAAATATTCACAAAATATATTGAGAAAGATTAAATTGAAAGCAAGATGTATATAAGTGTATGTACAGATATATTTCTTGTTGATTGATTCCAAGTAGAAGCAAAATTTATTGTAAGTGAGGTCTCCATTAAATGGTGATACCTAGTTGGAAATGCATTCTTATAGAACACTAAATCAATACATGAACATACTAAAAACAAAATCTTGTCATTTCCTAAAACAAAACATATTTTTCCTATGTTCTTCTGTGTTTTTGGAGGGAATGATTTTCTGCAGTGAAGCAAATTAAGTGCATGTGGAGGTTACGCTTTAACAGCAAATTTGTCTACACTTTGCTCGTGTCCTGAGACTTTGAGGGAGACTGCCATTAAAAGCGTGGGGCTAATTAATTTGAAGGAGGAAATCTCAAAGCAACCTATTGTTGAGATTGAGACATGAGTATGTTTGAAGGACGTTTATACAACTCAATGTTGAGAATTAAGAGCAAAAGTCATAGCTGGATGATTTTAAAGGTTTGAGTATGGCAAGAAAGTAAATTCCAGTAAATTTGCAACCCACAAAGATGAAGCAGAAAAAAACATGGTTGCCAAAAAGACTAGCATTAAGAAAAAGCCGAGTACTTTGGTATAGTACAGTAGCAAAAATGCCTTGAAGGAATGTGAGAAAGCACCAAGGCCTTAATCTCTGCAGGCTCAAAATTGCAAAACTGAAAAAAATTTGC